AGCACTCAATTTCTTTTGCCTTGTGTGTGGATATTTGTCAGCATTATCCGATTTCTGTGGCTCCTAGCCCTTAATAACGAGTGGAATTTGTCAACAGGTAATACATACAAAACTGAAGAGAGTGAGGAAATTGGAAATGATTTGGATGCCCAACAATTTCAGTACTCAATGTTGGAAGAGCATCAAAGGAGCCTTGTCATATATGTCTTCTCTGAACACAAAGAAACATTACCCAGGCAAACGAAATAAAAGACTGATAATACTCAGTTGTCCATTATTACTTTGAATTACAATTGAGTAAATACTGAGTGTCATAGGAAGTAAGTGTCAAGGAGATTGAGTAATGTAAGATATTCAATATCTTTACATTTGAAAGGCAGCAATGATCTATCCCTAACAATGTACCCACCCACAATACCACCATATAGCACTTCCAACAAGAATGAAATTATGTATGGCTTAGGCTTTTTGGATAATGGATTTTTAGTGTCAAACAAAAATGAATACAGCTCAGCAAAGAAAGCATGAAATTTTATGAAGACAATTTCTCTTGAATTTAATGAAATATGCAATGGGCCTATGAAAGGAACAATATTGCTACATTGATGAGATAATGTATCATCTTTGTTATACACAACTTGACGAACAAAGAACTGAGCAGGCCAATCACCAACAAGAGGAACAACATATCTTTGAAGGTATGATGACAAACCATTTTCAAGCAGTATGGCCAAAGCAGTACGAAAATTGTCATATGATTTTAGTGGCATCTCTATTGAGTCAACTAGCTTGCAGTTATCCATAGATCTTAGCTGTGTCATTCTTTGGTAATCATGGATAAACAACCTATGCCTTTCTGATTCAGGGTCAAAAAACTCTGCTTTCATCCAGTCTGGCATTACACTGACATAGCTCTTTGATAAAAAATCAATGTTATTGTCAAGAACACTTTTCAAGTTCTCAAAGTTTGCTGGCTTTATATCATTGACTGGAAAGGTTGCATGGCTAATTGCTTCAACACTTGGGAATGACTTCAAAAGAAGTGTTGCCATGTGGGTGACTTGTGATGTTGCAGAAGTAGTGGCACGTCGATTAGCATGGATATTATGGTAGTCATCTATAAAAATTACCACCATATGACCCTTTTCTGCTGCATTTTTAAAAAAATCATTCACAGTTTTGCTATGATTTGCAGCAATGCCTTCATTAGTATTAATTACTGTGCGTGGGTGTGCTGTAAAACCCATATTATGGAGGGTTTCCATGCCCTTACTTGTAACCCCAAAGCCTCTTAGAGTCCTGGCAGTTGCCACTTGAAACCAATTAGCCCTTTGCGACTGACCGTAGACAAGGCTGTATATAATTGAAACAGCTCTTTTTTCAATCAATTTTTTTCTTTCAGCTGTTTGTCTGGCAGTTGACATAGCTTCTACTATTGTTTCAAAAATTGTTGTTGCCCCTGCATCATTACAAAGCTTTTTAAATTGAGCTGGATCAGTGATTGGTTCACCATTTTCACCAAACATTTGGAAACATTTTTCCTTTATTTTTGAGACTTGAGATTTCAAATTGATTCTAGCGTTACCAATTTCTTGTTGCTCAAAATTATCGTTTTTCTCCAGTGTCTCAAAATCGTTGTATGTTTCTTGTGTGTTAGTTTCTTGTGTGTTAGTTTCTTGTGTGTCAGTTTCTTGGGAGCTTAACATGAGTTTTTGGCTGGGGTAACTCAGTGTCTCCGTAATTTCTGAATCATTTTCTATGTCAGAGCTCTCTTTTTCATAATTTGGTGTCTCTTTCTTTTTCAAGATTTGTTTGAATTGGGCTGTTTCTTGATGCTGTAATAGTGTAATATTGTATATAACTTCCCTACAGTGGGACAAACTCTTTGCTAGTGCTATGTATTAATTTTTTAAATAAAAAAATGTACCTTATCAAAAAACCTGTTCTTTCTTTCAATTGAAATTTTCTCAAAACATTTGTTACATTCCTCTAATCCTTTTTACACTTTTCTTTTGTAAGTTTCAAGTTTGAAAGTAATTACATCAGAAAAATCAATGTCTGTCAAATTTTTTGTTTGAGACTACTTAATTGTGAGAAGAGTTGCAAACAAAATAATATAACTTTAATTTCAAATCTTTTGTATTTCCAGATAAAGAAAATTACATAGCTAATTAAGAACAATTCCAAAAAAAATTCAGATATCAGTCATTGACAAATTACAAGGAGGTAAATTTAATAATCTTGCATGATAAGTCCAGTGTAAATTAAATTTGGAATATCGAATCACAATTTTGCTACAAGGGAAACTTACCAGATACTTCGTAAATTCACGTTTTTTCTCGCAATTTTCAATGCAGAAAACGCAAACGTGTTTAATTTTGGTTTCTGAGTGGCCATTCGCCTTGGCTATCAATTTAAATGCCTGAAGCTTCGCATATGTCGGAACTTTGAATTCCCTCAAATCCGCTTCGTTTACTGTACATTTGTGGCAGCACCACTGCTGATGCAGTGGGTTGCTGCACTTTCTTCGAAACCTTCCCATAATAGAGGATTTAAACGAGGTGGCTTTACATGTAAACAACGATAATAATTAGCGCCAGTTAGAAAGCAATTTTCCCGCCAAAATATTGCTGATAACCGGGGGTAAAACAAATTAAATCATTAATTAATTATATATTTTTTTTAAATGTTACAACAGAACATAAAGTATATAACCAAAGACTGTAACTGAGTTTTTAATTTTCAATGTTGCTTTCCACCGAAGCTATTCCGTCTTGATTATATCAGAAGTCAGAAAGTCCAACGATTCCCGTACTAGGTAGCAGCAGCTGCTCAAAAGGCATCCACCAAAAAAGTTTTTCCTTGAAAATTAATCGCTATGCCATAAAAAGATGAGTTGCCTGTTAGCTAGGTATAAAACTGGCTTTTCGTCTAAACTTGCCGCCAATTTGTCGCAGAGACCAACTACCATCTCGAGTGGACTTCGTAATAACTAAGAGGCTTTCTAATTTGCATAATCACGCCACGATGGAGATCCCCTTCCCTCGCATTGGTGCCTTGGATTTGGGCAGTCCCTCAATTTCCGCATCAGAGGGCCGTATTTTTGATGGATCGTAAGGGTCATTAACATAAATGAAAAAAGACCCGTATTAGCTACAGGACATTTGTAAAATTGATCGCAGAGACGAGATTTCTAGACCTATTACTTAAAATTTGGTCTTGTAGGAAGCTGGATAGAATGGGCCTAGCCCCCCCGAGAGATAGGAAAAGTTCAACCTAAGATTTTAGGAATACTACGTCGAGTTAACTCGAAAGCAGCGGTAGTTTTTTAGTAAATTTAATAAACATTGTATATTTTTATTTTTCGCTGATTTTATTTAATGTATATTTTCGTGGCGGCCCAAAATTCCAGTAGTGGTTTCCCTCCACAGCTAAGGGTGTTTTCGTGACAAATGTAAACAAACCATGCAAGATTCGCGGGATCTGATTGGCTATCGAATTTGGTAAACAAAGCATCTTATTGGACGAAAACGAAATTCCGCTATGCT